TCCTATACTCATGACACTTTGAGGTATAAATTTTTAATTATTTCTGTTAGTACTGTTCTCAGTTAGTTTTAACCCATTTGCAGCATTTGAAACACTGAGTTTCTCAAGGATTCCAAACTCCAACTTTTTTCATCATTAGCTCCTAGCATATATTAAATACCTAATTAAAATCTCAAATTCCACAACAAAATTTTGAAAGGTTATGTGCAGGACTATTGTTATTGGTACTCCTAGCACAATGTTCTGTGTTTGAGTTCTTTTGCATTACAGGATTCGTTAAATAATAATAACATATTCAGGACATGAAAAATAATTTGAGAATGGCATATAATGCTTTCTTAAAACAAAACTGAACATAAATGAAATATTAAGATGGCTTCATAGGAACAGAAAAGACTTTATGTTACATTTTATTCCTCCCAGGGGATGAAGGGCATCATTTGTTTTGTTGTTTTCTATGCTGGGGACAGACCCAGGGCCTCACACATTGTAGGCTAATGCTATACTACTGAGCTATATCCCCAAGTCCTGCGTATCAATTCTTATATTCAAACTTTTGAAATAATGTATTGTTTTCATGTGCCACAAAAATGGGAGCATGACATGTTGACCTACAAGGCATTTAGTGATTATAAATTTTAAACAATTCTGAGGAATCTGCTAATAAAAATTTACAGTTTCTGGCCAATGAAAAGCTCATACTTACATAAGGCTAAATGCTATTATTATTCTATGGGGTTTTTGTTTTGTTTTTCTTACTTTTTGCAGATCTGGTTACCTAGTTTTGACTACACTCTAAGAGAAGACACAATGCCATACCTTGTTCTATCCTCCACCAATGCAAAAGCCTACATAAATGAATCCTATGGTCTTTATTTTTGTGTTGGCATAGAAATTTTTGGGTACATCAAGTTTTTCTTTTCTTTTTCTTTTTATAGTATATCATGCAAAGTATCCAAATCACAGTCACCTAAGGGAAGGCAGGGAAGAACAAAACAGCCAGTTTATTATAAAAATTGCAACTATAGTATAAACTCTAGAAAAAGGCTTTAGCAGTTAAGAAGAGAAACTTAAATTCAAAGAAAATGATTGATTCAAGTCAGTTACTTTTCACTAGTGCTCATATATGTTAAGTATATGAATCACATTGAAAGCTCTCCTTTTCAGCAACTGAGACCTATTTATTCTCCTTTCTCCCCACCACTCTTTCACCCTTCCCCCACCTAAATCAGAACTTTGTCATCAATGTAATTTTTTTCTCAAAAAATATTTTTGCTACCATTCAAGATCATTTATCATAATTTAAATAATTATGTTTTTAACTTGACTATACCTAATTTTAGCAGGAAATAATTATTTTCCTTTTCAAGTGTCCCTTTGTATAAACTAATTCTGACATGTGTACAATTGTCATATCATTAATGCTGTAAACTTTCAAGATTATTAAACGCAAGCTAGGCATTTGGAAACTCCATTGCACCATATGGGGTGTTTTATCTAATATAAATGTCATTATTTCATTGGAAATTGACTTATGATATGTATCCATTGTATTTTTTCACTGCCCAAAACTTGTGCGTTTTGTTAAAACAAAAGGAATATTTGTAATCTGATATTTGATAGTATTTCTTAAATTCTTGGAATTATTTTTTAAATAGTCATTTTTAAATGTTATGTTTTTAAATTTTGTAAGTACCAAAATATGTTTTAAAAAGAGTGTTTTTTTCAGTTGGTTAACAAATAATAGTTTATTATCCAGAGAAAATTCTACTATAATTTCTATTATAATTCATTATACCTCATGACATTTCTAAAATTTTTGGGTTTGGGATGGTATTTTCAAAGCTAAATTTACTAAATTTACTCTAAGAACAATTTTCTTCACCATATCATACATTCCAACAAATACTTCACAACTAAAATATGAAATCAAATGGAGATAGTAATTCCACCACTAAGTTGTTATTTCTCTAAATTTGTTTTATAATTACTAAAGGTTCTTGATGTGCTGATTCTATTAAATTATTTACTTTCAATTTTGCAACAAAGAGAACTAAATTATTATTTACATAACATTCATAAAGTAGTGCTTAATTAAGGTAGGTTTAATTTTTTTAAGTTTTAAGTAAATTATTTAACCATAAAAGTGATTTTCACACTTCTCCACATTTGGCCTTACATATTATGATATTTTATCAGGTCACTACTGTTTTCCGCAGAGAAAATTAGTGTAGAAAATATATTCAAAATAGTTTTATTTAGAATAATTTTCTTTTATAAATTTTATTGACAGTCATCTAATCATCCTACATGGAAGTATTACATATTTAAAATGAATAGGGTAAAAGTGAGATTTGTTTCTCAGTACTAAGAATCTGTTCATGTTTGTTGTTTTATTAAGTATGAAGATTTCTGGTTATACCCCTTATAGCTAAGGAGTGGTAATATTTGATATAAGATTACTATACTTTGGTGAGATGACATATTAAAAAGAACATGACATAGCCAAGACTGGTAAATCCTCAGTATGGTTCCTGGCTTATCCCTTTAAGGACCATAAGACTTAAGGATCATTGCTTTCTTGAGTCACAAATTCCATACTTGTGAGGATTAGGACTTAATATGTTAAATGGCTTATTATGTCATTTCTCTCTCCTGTCCCCCGCCCCCACTCTCTCCCTCCTAATCCCCCCTCGCTTCCAGGCAGAACCTATTTTGTCCTTATCTCTAATTTTTTGAAGGGAAGACATAAACATAATAAGAAAGATGAAGCGTTTTTGCTATCTGAGATAAGGATAACTCTACAGAGAGATTCCTAGCATTGCTTCCATGTACAAATGTCTTACAACCCAAGTTGATTCATCTCTAACTGATCTTTACCCTGGTTCATGATCCCCTTCTCATGTTGACCTCTGTCACCTTAAGATTTCTGCATTAGCTCCTATGGAGTGGGGACATCAAACTCTTTAATGTTTTAGGTTTTCTACCTACCCCCGTACCTCCCGTATGTGTTCTACCCTTGTCATTTGACCCAAGTCCAACAACATTTCTGTATTTGCCTTAGTTCTAAAGTCTGCACATGAGGGAGAACATACAATTTTTGGTCTTCTGAGTCTGGCTAACATCGCTTAGGATGATGTTCTCCAGTTCCATCCATTTACTCGCAAATGATAAGATTTTATTGTTCTTCATGGCTGAGGAAAATTCCATTGTATATAAGTACCACATTTTTTTGATCCATTCATCAGTAGTGGGGCATATTGGCTGTTTCCATAACTTGGCTATTGTGAATAGCGCTGCAATAAACAGGAGTACCCTGTGTTGCATTCCTTTGGGTATATCCCCAGGAGTGGGATTACTGGATCATTTGGCAGATCTTTGTTTAGATTTTTAAGAAGCCTCCAAATTTTTTTCCAGAGTGGTTGCACCAGCTTGCATTCCCACTAGCAGTGTGTGAGGGTTTCTTTTTACACACATCCTCGCCAACACTTGTTGTTGGTGGTATTTTTGATGATAGCTATTCTAACAGGGGTGAGGTGGAATGTTAGTGTGGTTTTGATTTGCATTTCCTTTATGGCTAGAGATGGTGAGCATTTTTTCATGTGTTTTTTGGCCATTTGAATTTCTTCTTTTGAGAAAATTCTGTTTAGTTCAGTTGGCCATTTCTTCGATGGTTCATTGATTTTTGGAAGAGTTTAGTTTTTTAAGTTTCCTGTATATTCTGGTTATCAGCCCTTTGTCTGATATATAGCTGGCAAATATTTTTTCTCACTCTGTGGGTGGTCTCTTCAGTTTAGAGACCATTTCTTTTGTTGTGCAGAAGCTTTTTAATATTATAAAGTTCCATTTGTCAATTCTTGCTCTTAGTTGCTGAGCTGCTAGGGTTCTATTAAGGAAATCTTTGGCTATACCTATTACTTCTAGAGTGTTTCCTGCTCCTTCCTGTACTAAACTCAGAGTTTTGGGTCTGATATCAAGGTCCTTGATCCATTTTGAGTTCATACTAGTACAGGGTGATAGACCTGAATCTAGTTTCAGTTTCTTGCAGATGGATAACCACTTTTCCCAACAACATTTGTTGAAAAGGCTGTCTTCTCCATCATATATTTTTGGCACCTTTGTTAAAAATGAGGTGGGTATAGTTGTGTGGATTCATATCTGGGTCCTCTATTCTGTTCCATTGGTCTTCATGTCTGTTTTTGTGCCAGTACCATGCTGTTTTTATTGCTATTGCTTTGTAATATAGTTTGAAGTCAAGTACTGTGATACCTCCAGCATTGCTCTTTTTGCTGAGTATTGCCTTGGCTATTCTTGGTCATCTTAAACTTTAGAGTATGTTAAAGTGGGTAATAAGAATCAGTTTTGCTGTTACCTGAGAGGTTGAAAATTTCAGAAAGAGACCTACCTATGACTCTGCTATACAATTCTTGGGCAAATATCTAAAGGAGTATAAATTAACATTCAAGATGGATCCCTGCACACTCACAGGAATTTGTAGGAAAATGGACAGAAGTGGCGATCATCACCCTGAGTAAAATAAGCCATGTTCAAAAAGCCAAATATTGCATGTTTTCACTCATATGAAGAATTTAGGTCTAAAATACAAAGAATAAAAATAATAATGGGACACATGTGAAAAGGACAACTGTCAGGAAGGGACAGTGGGAAAGGAGAGGGCACTTGGGCAGAGGGAAGTCATTTAGATATGAAAACCAGAAGTAAAATTAGGAGATCAGGTTGGAGGTGATCACCTCCAACCTTCAGATAGGAAACAGCTTATACAAGAGGTAACTTGGTAGGATTTTGAATCCATCCTTTTGATTTTTATGGTAGGTTAAATAATTTCATGATAGAAATGATTTTATTACAAAAATAAACATGCTTTTATAATTTCTGAAATGTATTGTTTTTATTTTGTTAGCATGCATATTGCTGTCATGGTTATTAATATCTTTTTGCAGTTATCTACATATGACTATAAATTGCCAATTTAATTTCAGCTTCTTGTTCTGGACTGAATGGGGACAGATGCCCTGCATTGGAAAGTCTCGCTTAGATGGCTCTGAAAAAGTTGTCCTTGTAAGCTTGGGAATAGCATGGCCCAATGGCATCTCCATTGACTACCAGGTCTGTTGGGTTTCTTTCAAGTATTTAAAGTGCGTTAACTGCCAACTTGCATTAGTCCACTTTGAGTGTTTCCGTATTTTCTTCATAAAACAATCAAACACAGCTTGTACTGTTGCTTTTCAATCGATCTTTAGGAAAATAAATTATACTGGTGTGATGCTCGCACAGACAAGATAGAGAGAATTGACCTTGAGACTGGAGGGAATCGCGAGATGGTGCTGTCAGGGAGCAATGTGGATATGTTTTCAGTTGCAGTCTTTGGGGCTTACATCTACTGGTCTGACAGGTAATTTATTTTTTCATAAGTATTTGAGTTTCAAAATGTTATTTCAGTGCCAGTTGCTTTGCCCTTGTAGGATTAGCCATACCTTAGCAAGGTCACAAAAAAAAAGGATCTTACAAAGCCATAAAATTTCCAGAGAAAAGCAAGCACTCTTGCTATTCCAGACTCAAGTATTTCAGTATCACAACCTTAAGTTGGTTTCTTTCCCTTCTGTTGGGCCATCTGTTATCTTCAGCTTAACTACCTGGCTTCATTTTAATTAGTTGAAGATTGTTGATCATGTATGTTCAACTTCTTGGCAGAGCACATGCCAACGGATCTGTCAGAAGGGGCCACAAGAATGATGCCACAGAAGCAGTAACCATGAGAACGGGCCTTGGAGTCAATCTAAAGGAGATTAAAATCTTCAACCGAGTAAGAGAGAAAGGTCAGCCCACTTAAAGAACATATAATGCATATATATTTTATTATTTCTCTTTTATTTCTAAACATTTGTCACACTCAAATTAAGAATTAATTGTTGAGTCCAAAATCTTAAAATTTTATTTTTTCTCAGCAATTTTCTGTAAAACTCATATTGTAGCCCAAGGAAATGAATAAATAGTAGTTACTACATAGGTATATTTTTCTAGCATAGCACATGTAAAGGGACATGTTACATACCTGATACGTCTAGATTATTAGTTCAGAATAAAAAGTAGAAAAATATTAAAAAGCATACTCATAATGAAAAGTAAAAAGTTCAATTAAGATGTTAGAGAGTAAAAAGCAGTTGAAATTTTGGTTTGGATTATCTCTTAATATAAAAAGTGGTTGCAGTCACAGCTGGTGAAGTTTTCAATATTTTTGAATCATCACTTCCTTAAAATGTACACTTTCATTCTGAGATGACAGAAATTTGGGTACTTTCAAAAAAATTTGCTAATGCTAAAATAAATGATAATTTTCTTTACATCAAGGAACTTTGCATAATAATTTTGAAAATTATAACAATGAATTCATGAAGTAGAATTAGCGTGATGAATAAATTTTAGGAGCATAAATTTCACTTGAAATTGGAGAAAACTTTCATACTCACTAAATATATATATGTACATATATATACACATATATACATACATATATATGTATATGACAATATAAAGTTATGCACATTGGATCCACCAACTGTTTTGATACCTTTCACACCTCCTCATAGGTGGCAAGCTGAAAGGTGTTTTTTTTTGTGAATTCAGTTTATGCTTTGAGTGGATTGGTTACTTGTGACAAAAATTCTAATACATAAAATCTATCTTTGTATCAAGTTTCAAAAATGTATATAATTAACTTGTTTTTAAGGGAAGATTTTAATGTTTTTATGTGGATTGTTAAGAAAGTAGAATAATTTGATCCTTCAAATAGAAACCCAAGATAATAAACTTCTGTGATTTAAAAAATGAGTATGTTTTAGTGTTTGATTTTTTACTGACCAATCTAAAAACTAAGAAAAAGAGACTATTCAATATAATATTGCAAAATTTATGTAAAAAAACTTATTTGACAAAAAAGTAAAACTTAAATCTGAGTATGTGTTTGCATGTGTGTGTTTTCTTCTCCTAGGGACCAATGTTTGTGCCAAGAACAATGGTGGTTGTAAGCAACTCTGTCTTTATCGAGGAAATTCCCGGAGAACTTGTGCTTGTGCCCATGGATATTTAGCAGAGGATGGAGTTACTTGCCGAAGGCATGAAGGCTATTTGCTGTATTCAGGGAGAACAATATTAAAAAGTATACATCTTTCTGATGAAACCAATTTAAATTCCCCAATAAGGCCATATGAGAATCCACATTATTTCAAGAATGTCATAGCCTTGGCTTTTGACTATAGTCAGAGAAGAAAAGGTACCAACCGAATATTTTACAGTGATGCACACTTTGGAAATATACAACTTATTAAAGATAACTGGGAAGACAGACAAGTAATTGTTGAAAGTAAGTACAATTTAATTTTAAATTGTTTGATGGAAATTAGTATCACATGGATTATTGGAGAAATAATAGTAGCAATTGCATACAGTCATTATATTTTCCTAGAGCTTCTATTTGAGAAGAATGTGTCTATATCATCCAATCCACAAAATGTGGAATATTTCTAAATGTACTATTCATCTATCTGCATTTTTTGCTTATTCTATGCATTGCAAAGATTTCATTTCAACCCATTAGGTTCATTCTTAGTGTTTTGAAAGCCTGGATCTGATTCTATACTTGGGGTAAAAATGTTTCATTTAATCAAATTCTTTTTGATAAATACTGATTCTTTCTGATATTTCATCATTACATTCAATGCCATAATGAACATTTCTGTTGAAAATATGTTTAGTCATACATTCAAGTATTTCTTTGTCATAGAAACCTACAAGTTAGAGTCACCAACTCAGTCAATGGGTACATTATTTTTACAGATGTCAAACAGAGAGGCCTTCTTAATTTCCATTCTCACCAATTGTCTATGATAAAAGCCTGTTTTCCCACTGTGTTATTTTTTGGGGGGAGGGTCTCACTATGTAGTTCAAACTCGCCTTGAATCTGTGTATCCCAGACTGGCCTTGAACTCGAAGTCCTTCTCCTCAGTCTCCTGAGTGCTAAGATTACAGGTGTGCACCATCATGCCCAGCTATTTTCCTACCCTGTTGTCAATGGTGATTTTGTTATTTTTATTAAGTATGAAAATTTAGTTTTGGAAAACGATGTCTTATAATAACATACATTCACCTGGTAACAATAAGATCCAGCCTGTACCTGTATGTTTATACAAATTAAAAATAGACTTGTAGGTCAAACTTGATGTTGTACATTGGCATTACCTGCTGATGCTTAACTCTGTTCATCTTGTACTTCCAACATTTAATATCTTTCATAGAACTTGTTGCTTATGCAGCTTCTACTCAGCCTTTTAACATCACTTCAATTATGTACTTAAAATATAAATTAATATTTTTTTCTATATGTAACTGTATTTATTGAGAATTTCATATAAACTTATATGCTTACGGTACAGGGTGTTTTGGATTCCGTGTGTGTGTGTGTGTGTGTGTGTGTGTGTGTGTATGTGTGTGTGTGTGTGTGTGTATGTGTGTGTGTGTGTGTGTGTGTGTGCATGTGGTGTTTAAACAAAACTAGAGGGCTGGTTTTGTGGCTTAAGACTAGAGTGCCTACCTGGCAAACACAAAGCCCTGAGTTCAAACCCCAGAACTCCCCCCAAATTTTCAAAAAGCATATATAATTGTACTAATCATGGAATTAACACATATTTGATACTCATTGGAATTAACACATATTTGATACTCATTGACTCTTTAAGAGTATCTTTAACAAGTTTGTAATATTCTTTGGTCTTTCATTTTCCTGACTGTTATAACAAAGTGTTGGAAGTGTTCACATTGTAACCATGGCATATCAATTCACTTATTCATTCGTTTTCTACATTCCAGGTTCTTTGTCAGGAACCTTGAATATAAAGATGAGTATTAATCCATAGAACTTCAGAAGCCACAGTTTAAAGAAGGAAACTACAAGTAAACAAATATTAGATCTACAAGACACTAGAATCTTTTAGAAAATAAGTAAATCTGACTGGTGGAGAAACTCATGAAAGTTTTAAAAGATGACAGTATGCAGAGCTGAACTGAATGAAATTATACTAAGAGTCATTCCATTTTTTAGCTGTCGTTTAACAACAGGAAAAAAAAACCGCCAGTTTCACTTAAGAAGGTATTTGAAGAAAGGGTAAAAATAAATATATTTATTAAATCTTGACCTTTCAATATAGATCTCTTTAATAAACAAGGAAATAGACAATGTGAGTAAATAAAATATACATGCATTACTTACATCACATTTTAAAGGACTCCATGTGTTTGGATTGTCTTTGAGCTCAAAATTTTTCTAAGATGTACCAATTTTTACCTGAAATAATGAGGAGCAAACTGTACTTATTCAAACCTGGGTATGTGGCAGATATTTTCTAAGGACTAAATAATGAACCTGTTACTTTAAGGAAAATGATCGATAGTATTTATTGCAAATAATAAAAAAATTAAGCTTTCAAGTGAAAATTAGCTTTTTAAAAGGATTTTATTAACAACAATGAGCTTGACAACTTCCCAATATTCTAAAGTGTTTTCTTATGAGATGAGAGTGTGATTTGGGGGTACTCCATAAAGAATTGTGCCAACATTTGGAAGATATGCATAAATCAGGAAACCAGTATTTCTCAAAAGACATGATAAAATTGCACATAGATAAATGATCCAGTCAAAGTACAAGACAGACCCATGAATTTTAATGTAATAGAGTATGAAAAGTTCATCACTATGGTTTCAGATTCTATAATACAACTAACCTTTAAGTAACTACCACTTTTCATGTGTTGGTGTGGTATGAAAAATACCCAAAATAACCTGCAAAGGCTATTTAAACATCCACCCTCTGTAAATAGATAGCTGTGTGAGGCTGGATTTTCTTCAGATAATTTAGCCAAAATGTCATTAGAAATAAAGAAAGAATCCAGCTGTCTTCTAGAGAAACACATTTAATAGCTTTTTAAAGTTATAAAACCATGACCTTTTTTCATTACTATTGAAGATGTAGTCACATTTCTTAGAAATGTAACATGTAAATTGACTTATATTTTAAGTTTTAGAGAAATGAATACTCAAAACAAATTTCAATTTAAATTTCTGAATATTGTAAACAACTACAGCTAGATCCACAGACACAAAAATCTCTCTAAAGTCTTCAATAATGTATGTATAAGAATATAAAGATTCTCAGATCCAAGCTTGAGAAATATTCTCCTAGGCTAAGGCTCAGAAATATTTTAGTACAAAGACACAAAAAAGCATGTGACGAACAGGTGTCATTTGATGTGATTAAAACACAGGTTATATGGCATGAATGAGTGTGAGGTTAAATCAGGGTAGTAGGAGTGGTAAGAGGGGCCTGATTTTGAAGTCTGCCAAAAGAAGGAGCGCTAAAAAGACACCTCCACTGTGATAGTTTATATAACATAATTCATCACTTTTTTATGAGTCAATGGTTTTGATATTTATACTATTAATTTTTAAAGTTGTGGTAAAATAAATATGTATGAGTTTCTATATGTAACATAATTTGTTACTTAACAATGTCTGAGCATACAATTCAGTAGCATCTGTTCCATTTACAATTTTGAACAACTATCATGCTATTTCTGAAACTTAAAACAGAAACTGTTTCAAGCATTAATTCCACAATTCCTCTCTCCTCAGTTCCTAATCAACGCTAATCTACGTTCTGTTTCTGTGGATTTGCCAACTGTAGAAATGTCATGAAAGTGGAATCCTAAAATATTTGTCCTCTTGTATTTTGAGAGTTTTTCTTTACTTTTTTTCAGTATTGGGATTGAACCCATGGCCTCATGCGTAGTGGGCAAATACTTTCCCACCTGAACTGTGCCCCCGTCTCTTAACATAACATTCCCAATGTGCATTCATGCTGTAACACATATTAGAACTTCATCCTTTTCAATGGCTGACTAATAATCCATTCTATACATATATACATTTTATTTATCTATTCACTTGTCCATGGACAATTAGATTATTTCCATCTTTTGGTTATTGTAAAGAATGCTGCAATGAATATTGGTCTACAAATAATCAACATAAGGAATTTTAATTGTATTTGTTAGATGAAGGGTAATCAGCAGAAAGTTGTGAAACAGATACATGTTCTCTAAAGGTCACTCTGTCATATTTCATGAGCTACAAGGGCCAGGTCTGAAATCAGAGAAGACCTATGACGTTATCAATAGATATCTAGTGTGCTACAAAGTGCCAATTTCCTCGCTTACACAATGGAAAAACAACCTATAAAGTTTTGTGAAGATTATACAAGATTGACTATGTAAAGGACTTACAAATAAGCATAACCTTAATTTAAAAGTTTATATTACTTTATTTGTGGATTATTCAGGATAACTATCTTTGTCCTAAAATATTTTTAACATTTGCATTAGAGTAGTTAAACAATCAGAAATAATTACTCTAATTGTAAATATAAGCAGTGAACTAAGGTGTGACAACTTCAAATTTAATTAAGATTAGTTTACACAGATAATTTACATGTACCTTTCTAAATATTTTTAATCTCTCCACCTCCCACCAAGAAGTTGCTATTTATTTAACCATTGCAATCTTGTGTGAATTTTGTGGTAGAATTTATTGCTTGATTTGCCAGACAGAAAAAGAAAACCAAAACAAAGAAAATGAAACAAACAAATGAGAAACTCAAAGCCTAAAACAAAATATGGAGTTAGTGACAGAAGTAATACGTAAAATCAATACATGGAATGCCAGTGTATTTGGCATTCCATTTTATCAAATCTGAAATAATATATTTGCTTTTGTTACATCTTTATATGGTTAATTTAGGGAAATTTGTATTTAAAAATATTAGAGAGCTATAAATACTTTTATGAATCAAATTTAGACTTAGATCCTCCATTGAGTAAAGTACGGGGGAAAGGGTGGGATTTTAGGCTCTCTCTAACTTTTCCAATTCATGTAAATGAAATTTCTCAGGTTTTGAACTTAAAGAAGGAAGGCAAGAGACATAAATGCAATTCAATAATCTATTAAAGTGGTCTCAATAATCCTGTCAGTCACATCTACAAGAGTTATTAAGTATGGGTGAATAAAGAATTAACTCCTGGGAACTTCACAATTTGTGGAAAGAGGCATTAACCGTGGGTTATTTTTTCCTATGTAGCGTGGAACCTACTGGCTAGGTTATTGGTTGTTGCTATCTCTGCTTTAAGGACACAGAAGTGATTTGATATAAATGTAGTTTTAAGAAATGGAAAATAAAAAAGGAGAGGTAGAAATTTTCTTTGAATGATAACAGACAATACAAAGTGGGGACACATGGTACTATGGAAGTTAACGATT